GAGAAGAGGAGAGGTGAAAGGGAAGACAGATGAGCGTGATGAGAGAGAGGAGCAAGAGGAGTGAGGGGAGAGAGGAAAGGGGAGACAAAAAGGGGGGAAAGAGGAGAAGAGAGGACAGAGCCTGAAGTCACTGGAGGAGAGCGAGGAGAAAGAGAGGAGAAAAAGAGGAAAGAGAGGCGGGAGGAGAGCTGGAGCAGTGGGTGGGACCTGCTTCATTACAAACAGAGAACATCTTCAGGAATCATGGTCCGATGGAGACGATAAAAGCAGAGAAAGAACTAAAACAAGGAATGCATGTGTGTCATCAGTGTGTGGCAATTAAAGCTGGGGTACCTAACTTTAAATGTAGATTTCGGATTAATTTTTTCCAGTTGTAAAAGGAACATTTAGTGAATAGATCAGGCATCAAACTTATTCAAAAACATGTTCTTTTGCAAAAGTGAAAAGCCCTGTGAGTCACTATTTGATGGTATAATAAGGTAAATACAGCACGTTTTGTCCCAATAGTTTAAAACAAACAACACGTATCTATTAGAGAGAGAAGAGAGAGAGAGAGAGAGAGAGAGAGAGATGAGAAGAAATAGGAGAGAGGAGAGACAGGAGAGAGAGGAGAGAGAAGAGAGAGAGGAGAGAGAGGAGAGATTGACCGAGAGAGATTTGAGAGAAGGGAGAGAAGAAATAGGAGAGAGAAGAGAGGAGCTGAGAGAGAAGAGAGGATATTGACATAGGGAGAGTCGAGAGAGGGTAGAGAAGAGAGGAGAGAGAAAAGAGGAGAGAGAAGAGAGAGGAGAAAATAGAAAAGAGAAAAGAGAGAGTGACAGAGAGGGAGAGAAGAGAGGAGAGAGGAGACGAGAGAAAAGAGGAGGGATAGAGAGGAATAGACAAGGCTAGGGCTGGGCGATACAACAATAACGATATATATATATATATATATATATATATATATATATATATATATATATATATATATATATATATATATATATATATATATATATATATATATATATATATATATATATATATATATATCATATATTATATATATATTATAGACAGGTGTTCGATATCAATAGAAAACGGGGTCGATAGAACTTCAATAGTTTCACTTCAGTCCGTTCGAAAAAAAACAAAACACAAAACACAGGAAGTAAAGCAGAGTCAGAAGCGCGCGGCATTCTGGGGGATGTAGGCAAAGGCTTCTCGACCTATTACAGCCGACTACAAACCGCAAAACTTTCTGGGAAGAGCAAAAACATCAAGCGCATCATCAAGTAGCGTCCATGGATCATGGATCTATTATAATAGCCATGGATCTAAAGATCGTGTTTCAGGCCGTGTCAAAGGTTAAACACGTCCGTGCAAGGAAAAGCATGTGCGGCGGCAGAGGCAGTGGATACAGAGACTCGATGCATTCGGCAAAAGCAAGAGATTAACTTTTTCCGGAGCCGCCACAGGGACACAAGACACTCGAAAACAGCTAAAACAGGAGCTAAACCAGGACTAAACCAGGATTAAACCAGGATTAAACCAGGACTAACTATGGGGGACACTGCTTGTGAACATTTGCCTCCAGCCTCATTCCCCCGTGACTGTAAACAAGGCTGCTAACATGTGTTAGGCGACACAACAAATGCATTTATTTACGTTTTAAAAAGATAAATAAAAAACAATAAATATATATTGTTATCGACCGATATGAATTACTTATATTGTGATATAGTTTTCAGCCATATCGCCCAGCCATAGACAAGGCACACATCCAAAAAAGGCTAAAGTAAAGACCACTTTGCATCCTATATGTTATTTTTAACCAGTGTATTCGTCATTTTTACATTTCCATTACAACTTTGACAGAACGCCTCATGAAATATTGGAACCATAGTCAGTCTGAAGCTCTCTCCGTACGTCCCAGACCTGAGCAGCATCGACACAACAGCAGCAGAGACCAACAACCAAAACAATTCATTTCAATATAAAAAGTCATGTCTATAAAAAGTCATGAAATTTAAATATCGGACAGTCTCCCGTCGTGACGCAGAGATCAGATAAACTCGACCCAGTCCTGAGCAACAAGCGTCATTCCAACACTAGAATATTCAATTTAATTCAATGTATTTGTGTAGAGCCCTAAATCACAGCAGAAAGTGGTGTCGGAGGACTTCACAGAGTTGTCAATCCGCCTCCAACAACAGATGAGAGCATGAAACGGTTCGAAAACACAGGAAATGCAATTATAGCGAACACTTGGGGGCGTTGGTTCATAGAGAGCGGAGATGACCACTGTCCACAAATGTTCATCAATGTCCCGGATCAACAATATCATCAACAAAACCATGTCCAGGACTGAATCTATAGGTCCAGGACTGAGGCTGTAGGTCCAGGACTGAGGCTATATAGGTCCTGGAGTCTGAACTGATGCTATAGAGCAGGCATGTCAAAGTCAAATACATCAGAGGGCCAAAAAAACAAATTTGCTGCGAGCCGAGGGCCGGACTGGTTCAATGTTTATTAACTCATTGCCTGCCAGGCTATTTCAGAACAGGTACTCCCATATTTCCAGCAGTTTCTGATGATTTTTATAGATTTTTCAAGAACCACAGAATATTGTGTACTATGACTATCTGAAATCCGAAACCAGATTCTGAAAGAATAGACTGTCTACTTTCATCAGCAAAAATAATTTTGTTTCTAGCTTGTAATCCCCAGTTGAGTAGAAGGAAGTTTTACTGAAATCACCAAAAAGTTGAGAAAAAAGAGGCACAACAAGTGCATCTAGCTGTTTTCAAACCATTCAGAGAGCGCTGCTGCCACCTGCTGGCTCGATTCAATATGCTCTCAAGCTTATCCCCAAACATATTAGATATAATAGACATCTGGGAACATGAAAATAGCGGAAAACGCAATTGACGTAATAGTGCGTCAATGGCATGCAACGGGCCATGTAAAATTCATTTGCGGGCCGGATTTGGCCCGCGGGCCTTGACTTTGACACATGTGCTATAGAGGTTCAGACTCCAGGCTATAGAGGTCTCGGGCTGAGGCTATAGGTCCTAGACTGAGGCTATAGAGGTCCTGTAATGAGGCTATACAGCTCCTGGACAGAGGCTAAAGAGGTTCAGGACTCAGGCTATAGTTCCAGGACTGAGGCTGTAGCTCCAAGACTGAGGCTATAGCTCCTGGACTGAGGCTATAGAGGTCCAGGACTCAGGCTATAGAGGTCTAGGACTGAGGCTATAAAAGGTCCAGGACTCGGTCTATATATCCAGGACTGAGGCTGTACTTCCAGGACTGAGGCTATAGTTCCAGGACTGAGGCTATAGATCCAGGACTGAGGCTATAGATTCAGGACTGAGGCTATAGATCCAGGACTGAGGCTATAGTTCCAGGACTGAGGCTATAGATCCAGGACTGAGGCTATAGATCCAGGACTGAGGCTATAGATCCAGGACTGAGGCTGTAGATCCAGGACTGAGGCTGTAGATCCAGGACTGAGGAGGCTCCCAAGAGAGTTTGAGACACGATGCTATAATCTATATAATATTGCACAGGATTTTTCATAAAAAGACGTCAGATCCTTATGGCGTATCTGGTTTTTCAAAGTCAGTATCACAACATGAACACCAGGATCACAGAGAGACCTGAGCCCAAAATGGTGAAAGCGACACAAACTGTTACTGAGCTAGAGGAGTTTACTGTTTAAAGTCAGTCAATAGGAGCCAGAGCTAGCAGTTTTCTATAGGGCTTCATTGAGCTAGCGTGTTAGCATTGTCTATCTGTATACCGTCTATGGTGTGTGTGTGTGTATGGATTTTACAGTGTTTCTTGTGTCAATATGATGAAGTGGCTTGATTCATCAGGATAAAGCCGAAAACAGAGCTCTATATTTGAGCCGAGAGACGAGAGTGACCTTGACAGCCACGGCGCTCGCAGCCTCCGAAATCAAAATGAAAAGTTATGCAATATGAGAAGTAATCGGGTTACTTTAACACTGGTCCAAACGTGATGATAGCAGCTGTGTATGGATTTTCTGATGTCCGACTCGATTCAGAGGAAGTTTGTGGACGAACTAACACACGCAACATAAGAATAGACTTTTCACCGCTTCTTTTGACCATAGATCTTCTCCCATGTCTTTTGCACTCATGTTTTTACCACTAGAAGCAGTCAATTTGACAGCTTTTGGGCAGTGGAATTACTACATTTATGTACAGTATGCTTTTGGTCTAATAACTTTTCTTTTTACGCATAATGTAATGGTCCTAGTCTGGGTCCAGTCTGGTCCTAGTCTGGTCCTAAACTGGTCCTAGACTGGTCCTAGACTGGTCCTGGTCAGGTTCAGAGTTATCTCAACTTGGAGCAAGGGCTAGTTACCATGACAACACACCGTTTACTTACAGTAGTTAGCATTTGACGTATTTCATGTGTATTCATCAGTTTTAGGATCCATTAAAAGTAAAAAAATATATACATTTTTAAAAGTAGTAAAAAACTGAAAACAATATTATTGGGATTCCATTAATTTGAACGGGTTTGTGACTTTGAACTGTGTATGTTCATTTTAAACATGTTAAAGTAACTATGTATGTTTGAGCCACCGAGCATAGATGACTCAAACCTGCATCATTCTCTGGCAAAAAGAAAAAAGCCAAGTCTAACGCCAATTTTGCATATCAAGATTAAGATTAAGATTAAGAGATCGTGCGACAGTAGGGAAATGTGTATGATGAGCACATTTAAGTTTGAGATTTTACTTGATTTTAGTCTAAAGAAGCAGGTATACAATAAATAGCTATAGCTCAAATTACCATTATTCGGCCTTCATAAGTTCCTATGCACTTGTTCCGTTGGTCTGGGAGCCTCTTTCTCAGGGAACTCCAACGCAATTCAAGCCATACTTCAAAAACAAACTGGTTTTAAGGCTCGACAGAAGAACAGTGAGAAGTCGATTCGGCGACCATGCAGTGTCACAAAAACACACATTATCACAAAGGCCTTACCTCTTGCAGACAATTTCTTAGTGTTGATGATTTTTGCAGCATATTCCTGTCCCGATGACTTCTTTACACACCTCCGCACCACTGAGAACGCGCCCCTAAGGAAAGAGAACGAGCAAAAACATCAGAGATTTGATGGTTTTCATGACAGCGTTGGAAAAGCTTTGAAAAACGGCTAATTTCTCTCTCTCTCTGCTTTTGATTACGACACCATCAGTCACATTCAGGGGCAGATGTGATGGGTGTAAAATGCAAAAATATATGGTGGAGGTTGTGGGTGGAGTTTGCATGTTCTCCTGCATCTATCTCTATAGTTCTTCTCCATCGATAATTGTCACAAAGAACTTAAAACACGTTCAAATGATTGGTCTAATGTGCGGTAATAGGCACCCATACATGTTAATGGAAAAAATACAAACAGAAGTAGTATGGCTCAGAAATGACTAATTTTCCAATTTCAATTCAATCCAATGTATTTGTGTAAAGCCCTATATCGTCTAAGTTGTCGATTCATCCCGACAAATTTAAAATGAGTGAACAGAAAGTCCCCCTAGGCCACTCAGCGCCAAAGTCCCTATACAGGCCCAAGCTATGACCAAAAATACTGAAAAAACCAACAACAAAAATACTAGAAAAAAATTGTCAAAAATACAGATACATAAAAGATACATTCTCTCATTTCTGCCCATAGATATTTGAGAAAGCTATACTGTATTGTGTTGGATCAGCCACACACACTCCAGGAATGTTGGAGGCAAAGAAGAATTTCGAAATCAGAAGCAGCAGATTATTCATATCAATAAAACTAGATGATTCATATTTGGACTACCGGTAAATAAGAGAAAAACTTGTGCATCTTGATTCAATGGAAATGAGTTTTCACAGTCACAAAAGTATGTGCCTGGATTAAAATAAGTTTGTCAAACTTATTTTTTGGCTTATTGGGTCCACAACATTGATTGATAAGTCCCTAATCACGACTATTGATACTAATAGCCACTTAGCCATTGAGCGAATGTATGTCTATCTAGTTAATAATATAAACTAATGTTATTATTATCATTATATTATTAGGTATTATTAAGAACACAGCGGCCCATAGATATTAACTCTTGACACCATTATCCACTTACACAACACTAGTCTCAGATAAATTGATTTTTGAATTTAAATTATTATTAAAAGGCATCAGCAGAAGAAGAAAAACAGATCAAATTTCCAATACTGAGGCTTTCAATTCCTGCAAACACACAATAAAAACTCGAAAAGCCACTCTTCCTCACCTCACACATCCCACAATTAGACAATAATCTGAAAAAACTATAAGTAAAATTTGCCTTACACGCTATTAATCATTTAAGTACATGTTTGCCTAACGCTAAAACCAATATTAAAGCAGGACTAAAGCAGGACTCTCTAAGTGAGTAAACAAAGGAAGGACCAGGTCTAAACCGGCTGCACACAGACCACTCCCTGATGGTCCAGGTGAAGACTACTGCATGGGGCTGTTATTGACAATTTAACTTTATTTAAATTTAACATGATCCGGACAATCCACAAAACCATAACAAAAGAGGAGAGGATTTGCATTGGATTTTGCGACTGCTACTTTCCATCTGTCCCTGCGAGAAATATTAGAGAAAGGACTGAAAAGAAAGTGGAATATGGTAGGAAAGCAATGCGATTTGTTGGGAATGTGTTGGTTGTAGGTCTGAGTGCTGCTGCAGCTGTAAAAAGCTGTGCGTACGATGTGAAAACAAAAAGAAAAATACAGCTGCAGATGTCACAGAGGAGAAGGAGAGAGACCAGAGAGAGACCAGAGAGAGACCAGAGAGAGACCAGGGAGAGATCAGAGAGAGACCAAAGAGAGAGACCAGGGTGAGAGATCAGAGTGAGGGACTAGAGATAGGGACCAGAGAGAGAGACCAGAGAGAGGAGGAGACAAGAGAGAGAGACCAGAAAGAACTAAGATCAAACCAGGACCTGTGTGAACGCATACAAGCAGCAAAACCAGTTTTCAAACCAGGTCCAAAATCATTGTATAAGTGGCAAAATATTCCAGTTTCTTTGTAAATAATACATAATAGAACAGGAAGCAACACGTTACAGTTTGGGAACCATTGCACTAAAATGTGACAGCTCTGAATGAGAAAAACAGTTTTAGATAATGGTCTGCATCTATAAAAAACACAGAACACGGATGAGGTAACAGCTCTACTGCTTCTGTCCCGTCTTTGACCTCAATGACGCTCCAGTCAAGACGCCGTGGGGACGTTTTTGTGGAACACGTCAAAAGCAAGAAAAAAGGGAATAGAATTTTGTTTTGCTACTTCTAAAAGTTGCGTGTCGCCCATAGAGGCAGATGGAGTTCAAGCAAAAGACTGCTCCCATTATGGCAAAAATGAATGGAATTGTTAGGGTTAATTGTAAGATATATATATAACACAACTGTCCATAGATATTGAAAAAGACAGGAACAGACAAAAACTTGTGTTCCTAGTCTGCACCACCCCCCCTCCCCGCTTCCTGTGTCTGAACTTTTGGATTTTCTGATCTGTTGCAGGCGAAACCACAACTTTACGAAGTCCTTCAAGTCGACCGCTGTAGTCATTTAGAGCTACACGCAAATATCACATGTAGATATTTTGCCACAATCATACAGCTATAATTGCGTGCATCCACATCGAGGCTCAACAACATGACCACTAAGCACACACACGCATTTACACACACACACACACACACACGCACCTACACACCATATATTTACTTTAGATAAAAAGCGTGCATGTTTATTCAACTCGTTCCCGTTCCGCTTAATAACACAGGCTTTGCTCTATGTGTGTGTGTGTGTGTGTGTGTGTGTGTGTGTGTGTAGTCAGGAGGTCAGAGCCGTCTGAGGGCCACAAACGCTCGTCTTGGTCTGAATTATTTACAGCCAAACGAGAGGTGGCAGGTGACATAAGCCCTGGTCACTGCTTTGACATTAATTTCATGAGATGGAGTCAGAGGCATTAGCAAATACAGCAGCGTCAGGAAACTCGGGCGAGGAGAGCGGTCAGAATGAAGGCGAAGGAGAGACGGGTCATAAATGTAAGCGTTAAATAAGTCTACACTCTACTTTCATTATTAATACTTGAATTATTGAAGAAATTGTAGCATTTTTGGGTCATGGTTTTTGACAGTAGAAATCTCGACGAAGCACTTTTTGATTTCAGAGAGAATTCATTTAGTAAGTGAATCCTAGTGTAGCTACAAGACTAGAAACCATAGAGAGACCAGAGAGAGACACGAGAGAGACACCAATGAGATACCAGAGTGAGAGATCAAGGAGAGAGACCAAGGAGAGACCAGAGAGAGAGACCAGAGTGAGAGATCAAGGAAAGACCAGCGAGAGAGAGACCAGAGAAACCAAGGAGAAACCACAGAGACCAGCAAGAGAGACCAAGGAGAAACCAGAGAAACAGCAGAGAAAGAAACTAGAGAGAAAGAACAAGGTGAGACCAGAGAGAGAGAAAGAGACCATAGTGACCAAGACTAGATAGAGACCAATTCAATAAATAATGTCTTGTAAAGCCCTGAATCACATCAGTAGCTATCTCAGAGGACTAAACAAAACCATTGAAATTGCCAACACAGATCAGAGAATCAAACAGACCAGACAAACAGTAGAGAGAGACCAGAGAGAGATAGAAAGACCAGAGAGATACCTGAGAGAGACCAGAAAGAGACCAGAGAGATTGAGGGAGAAAGACCAGAGAGAGAGACCAGAGAGTGAGAGAGAGGAAGACCAGAGAGAGACCTTAAAGAGTGAGAGATCAGAGAGAGACCAGCGAGAGACCAGAGAGAGACCAGAGAGAGACCAGAGAGAGACCAGAGAGAGACCAGAGAGAGACCAGAGAGAGACCAGAGTGAGAGCGAGGGAGAAAGACCAGAGAGAGACTTTAGAGAGAGAGACCAGAGAGAGACCAGAAAGAGACCAGAGAGTGAGAGAGACCAAGGAGAGAACAGAAATAGACACAAAAAAATTCTCCTGACTTTTAATATTAATTAGGATGTTGTATTTTATGTTGTGTTTTATGAGATTCACGCTGTGAAAAAAAACCCCACAAAAATTCACACACAAAAACGCAACCTACTGTGGCGACTAGACTCCAACTATTTCTTCTCAAAACTGATATTTCCATTGTACTAGATACATAACAATGAGCCATGAGCTGTCGTGTTTTATTACTATATTACAAACAGGAGCAAATTAAGCATTATTTAACCTTTTTAACAGAGCAATAAGCCCCCGTTCATTCATTCAAACCAGTGGAACCAACATTGACGTCTCCAGCTCACAGTAAAGTGCAGTGAGAGAGAGAGAGAGAGAGAGAGAGAGAGAGAGAGAGAGAGAGAGAGAGAGAGCGAGCACAGAGCAGAGCCGGTGCAATCAACGTCATTGATTACTGCCGATTATTAGGCCCAGAGTGGAAATGGCAGCGGGAAATTAAGGCCGGGCCGTCTTTATAGAGACATGTCGACAAATGGACTTAGCAGAACAAGGGAAAAAACAGTGGAAAGGGAACCAAACAAAAATCTCTATTCGGAACAACGCTACGGATTTGACACTAAAAGGGTTTTTGGGGCGGTTGACATTACAATGAGAATAAAAACTATACATTTCTACATTGTGAGTTCAAAAAAGTGTATCTTATCTCATCATATTTATATTGGTGGATTTACATTGTGTGAGTGGTGGAGACCAGGGCAGGACAGATCAACCTCACACTAAGAGAAATTTAAACAGAATTTGGTTTTCTCTCAGCCCTAAAACAGGTCAAAAAGACGACGACAAAAACACATTTTCAGTTGTAATTTAAAGCTGAGGTACCCAACTTTCTGTATACTAATATTCACTCTCAAACACCACACAGAGATGGGAGCGGGAGTCCAGGAGTCGCACGCCAGAAACATATTGTACATGTTTTTAGTGGTAGGGGAAAACCGGAGCACACGGAGTAAACCGGAGCGCACGGAGGAAACCGGAGCGCACGGAGGAAACCGGAGCACACAGAGGAAACCCACGCAAGCACCAGGAGAACATGCAAACTCC